CTCTCTCTCTCTCTCTCTCTCTCTCTCTCTCTCTCTCTCTCTCTCTCTCTCTTGTATTTTATTATAGAAGAGATCGAAGCGAATTTACTATATTACTATATTTTCAATATTTCAAACAAGTAATTGTTGTTATTGACTATAAAAAAATGATAAGAAAAACTGTTTTATATTTTTATATCAGAAATAATCGTGAATCATATATTTTTTTACTGTGTATATGTATAATTAATATGACTATCATGCTGTGATTATATTTTTTCCCGACAATACATTAATACACTTGCAAGATGCAACGGCACTTTTTTAATAGAACCATACTTTTTTAGAATAATTTAATATCTCTAGTTATTTTGCTTTGTAATACTACAGGAATAAAGTCATCAAAATGTGAATATATTTTTTGAGATATTTTACATTTTATACTAATTCTTTTCAGTATGAGATTGTAAGTATCTCATTCACTTTTCAAACTATTCACTTTCCAATGAGATAACTTTAACACTTTTCTACGTACAACTCTTATACATAAAATAAATTAATGGGTGATATTAATTATTGCAATTATCTTTACACACTAGTGCATTAACGGATCTGTAAAATGGAATTTTGCTTACAGAAGTTTTTGTATGTTTTCCTTTTCTTACAATTATTGATTTTATCTGCCATTCTATGTATAAAAGTATTAAGGTAAATTTATATATTATAAAGTAAATAATTTACGAGATATTCCATATTTTGTATTAAAAGATATTAAAATAAAAGAGGTAAATCTTGATTTTTATTCTAGTATTTTTATATGCAGAATAATCAGAGTGATTGATTTAGTAAAAAAATATATAATTCCATTAATAAGCAAGCACATTTGTATCTTGTATTTTTTTAAATTGACATCGATATATTTTTCGAAAAAATATAAAAATAGAATATAATGGTACTAAACAGTGAAAACTTTCTTCTCCTACTTTTCCATTTTGAGCTAGAAAGGAACTACAGCACGTCTAATCCAGTTATATTAAAACTACCTTATACATATATATTCTTTTTACATATTTCTATTTTACAGTTACAATATTTTGACAAGTTGAAGTTGCAACATAAAAATGCGCGCGAGTATATGTTGAATATAATATAATCAACAAGGATAAATCAGCTCATGAATATGTGTGTGTATGTGTGTGTGGATGTGTGTGTGTGTATATTTATGTAAATGCATTTATATATTTATAGTTTAAAAATCATTTCTTATTACAAGAGAGACATAAACCCATTTTATCTTACCCATTCATGTGCATTTAATTCCAATCATTTTATTAACAAAAATTCCTTTTATTACTGTTTCATATTTTTATATATAGACAATAAAATAATACAATATATCATATACTATAGTATATTATATTATATTATTATATAGCACAAAATGGTATATCATACTGCTGCAGGAAATTTTATTTTAACTAATAAGACTTCATTTTTAAATCTATAGACTCATGATGGATAATATTAACACGAAATTTCGAGTTATTTGACTACTCTTAAATTAAACTTTTCGTTCTTCAAAAAGTAAATTTGTGTTACTTTAATAAAACTCAAAGGAAAGTATTTATCTATCTATCTTTTAAAAGGAACATTTTACGTTTCCGTTTTCACTGTTCTTTTCACATAAACATAAGTATAAACTAAGTACATGGCCAACGTTATATTTAGATCTATTTGTTCCCCGTTCTCCTCTATTGTTCCCGTTCCCCTCTACTATTTTCATATTTTACGATGAAGACCAATCATTGACCAGTCATTTTGCAAAAATTTCTGTTTGCAGAAAGGGAAGCTAGCAGTTCAGGGGTGGCGCGCGGCGCTCCGCCGGTTCCAGAGACGATCAATGCGGAGGACGAACCGGAAACCGACGATACTGGCAGCACCAGCGGCAAGGGCATCTCGCCGGTGAATCCTCTTCTGCAGGAACGTTCGAATTGTGAGGAATTAAGGCACGTGGTCTGCCATTTGGAAACGAAAGATCTCTGGGATAAATTCAACGAGCTCGGCACAGAAATGATCATCACAAAGACTGGCAGGTGAGGTCTTGAGTTACCATCAGACCGAAACGATCATCATTGTTGATTTTTCCCTTCTGATATCGAAGATAATGTCGAAGATAATCTCGCGAAAGAATTGCTAGATCTGCGTAACTATTATGCAATTTTTCGGAATCACGAGATTTCGACTCGTGTGTTTTCAATCAAAACTTCGTTTACGTGTCTTACCTCTTCGGAATCGACACGGAATCAGCTTCCCACACATTTCGACACATTTGGAATGTAAATAAAACGAACGTGCGGAACAAACGAAACGAACCATTTTGTTCAATCACAGCGCAAGTAAATCATTATTTAACATTTAAGTTCAACTGTAATATACACTGGCAATATGACATACATTACAAGTACAATATAATTTATCATTTATAAATTACTTAAAGTACACATATACACACGCGCGCACGCGATAAAAATATATATAATAATTAAATTTTTTTACATTCTCTTTCTCTTTTTCTCATAACATAAATGAAAAAAAATATCAACAAAACAGCATTTAATAATACTGCAATTTATGGAAGAACATATAGACTTACATGTAAACTAAATGACTATTCTTTATAAACATATAATTATTTATAATAAATATAAATGTAAGATAAATTATGAAAATACAGATTTTTCAGTATTTATTGTCACACTTAAATGTTAATTTTCTAAAGATACTAAAATAAATTAATTTCTTTACCTTGACCGTTATCAAAACATCATTTTTGACGATTTCCATAGTCTTATTCTATTGGAAATCGGATTCCGAGGTGTTGGAATCATTCCGATCGATTCGGATTATCTTCGACTGTCTACAACATGAAATTGAAGAAAATCGAAATTATTCCAAACAGTTGCATAATAAGTACCCTAAGCTGAATCCCATTGCGTATCGCGGTCAATTATTACGGTATTTAAATTGCGCTCCCGACGTTTGTGCCGTAATCTCGATTTCGACGTCTATTTTTTCCAATTTACAATACATGTTACATAATTCTATATTGCGCAATCACAGTAATTTGTACAAATTGCAAGCGATTCGCAGTTACACGTGTATCTTCATAAGATGGTCATGACGGCAAATTTGCTGTAGCCACGCGATAACAAAATTTAGAAACGCAATATCGGATTATTGCCTCAAGATGATTCGTCCCAAGAATGGAGAAATGTTCCTCGAAGCATCGCGCGTGTTCAACGACAACGTAATTGTCCGAAGACTCTCGCAGACGAAAACAATTCCGGCCTCATTCCTCAGGGACGAGCTGGTGCGATCCCCGAGGTAACCAGATGCTACGAATAGAGTTCCCTCGGGACGACGTAGCCGCTAATGCATCGCACAGGCGGGAATCTCCCTCTCCCTCTTTCTCGCTTGGACACCGTCGGGGCGATTGACTCTTTCTCATTACTCGCGGCCGCTCACCCCTTCGGCTCTCCGGTTCCCGAAACTGCCTCGCCCGCCCGGCCTCGGTGTCACTGCAAACTCAATCACGTTCTGCCACGGGTCACGACACGACACGACACGATACGGCACCCACGAAAATTCCCAAGAGGGACCCGGCGATAGAAACGGGTTAGGGTTAGGGCGAGACGTGTCGTTACCCTGAGCAAGCCGTCACTCTCCCAACCTAAACATAAGCAAAACGTTCTGATCGCGTCGGGATCGTCGGATCTCTTAATCACTCCGGCCGAGCAGAAAGTATCGAGGCAACGTAGATCAATTATTCCGTTCATGACAATTAAGACTCTGCTCTCATAAAATAAATCAGCTAAAACGTTTCTGATTCAATTAATAAAAGGAATATTTCACCGATAATCGATGTATCCAGAAAAATACTATTTTACATGGAAATAATGCTATCGCATCAACAACATCAATATAATTTATATGAATTTTCTTGGTTCAAAAGCAGAATATTATTGAAACAAATATACTGTGCAATATTTTTTCCTTTCAATAGCATATTTTTCCCGTGTATTGTCAAGAATTGCGATTGCTTCAGTTTACCTTCCTCTTTCTAAGTAATAGTTATCTTCATCGCGAATTTTAAAAGATTTTATTATCATGTACTCAAAAGAAGAATTCATTCTCTTTACAAGAATATTATAAAGCTTTATTGAAAAAAAATATTAGTTCGACTCTGTATAGTAAACAAACCGAATTTTTGTTTTAATTTAATTCTTGATTTTTTATTCTTGATTGAAATACTAAAGAAATACTAGAATGCATATTGGATAAACGTGATACTTATAATAAAAATTTGTGAAAGATTTGCTGAAATATAAACTTATGAAATACTTAAAACAAGTAATATTTACTTGAATATTTTTCTATGTATGAATATTCATTGATTTTCAGTAAGAATTCTCTCACTTCACTCCTACGTATTATATCTGATTTTAAGCAATGGAAATAATATATTTTACTGCAAAATCACTGCGGCGACGAAATTAATTTGCAGGTAAATTAAATTACGGCTTCTACGCGCTTTGCGCACAATAATACATAATTTTACATCTGCGTTTGTAAATCGCATATAGAACATTATATGTACATTCTTGTATATATAGAACTTACATAAATGTATGTTACTTTGTTTTATCGTATTCAACGGACAACTTAACCACGCACATATATAGAAATCTTTCTACAAACGTTTCCAATATTCTTAAGCTTCTGAATTTAAATGCGAAAGTACAGCAATGTTCTTCAAAATTTTTTTGTTTGGAGCATCGACAGTATGTGCAAACTGCAGAACTTTTGGATTAGGCAAATATTATGCTAACTGACAGCTTGAAATTATATATTTAAAATTTCCTTTCATTTTCATCACATATTGAGCAATACTTTTATTTATTTTTGCTTATATTTTCATTGCGTAAAAACATTTGTAATTCTGTACAACCAATATGACGTAAACTTTGCAGAAAAATATCAATATTTTGCCGGTAAAGTTTTCAGCTTAAGCATCCCCTTAATATTACTATACCTTCATTTGAATTCAGAAGCTTAAGAATATTCGAAAAATTTTCAAAAAGATTTCTACATGAGTAGGGAGGTTAGGTTTTATGCTGAATATAAACAAAGCACATACAAACAAAGTATACATTTATATAAGTTCTATACAAGATCTATTCATACAAGAAATATAAAAAGGATAACGTAATTGTTTTAACGACGATCGTCTCTGCATTATCGATATTGTTCGAGTTTGTCCATCGACTCCAGCATTCCCTTAAAGTTAAAAACAATTTCTACTATTAACTGATCCTCTTAACAGAATTTTACTAAATCTAATATTATACTTATAACTAAACTAGTAATTAAAAATATATTTCTGTGAAGAATAAATTGATTATATTTTAGAGATTAAAAATCAATTGGGATTACAAAACCATGCGTGCAATTCGTATTGTAGAACACAGAAAAAATGGTTGGATTAACTAAATATCTACAAATATGAACAAACCGAAAATTTTAGTTGGAATTACCAGAATTCTTTTCCAGTTAAATTTCTGGTTAACTAAAATTTTTAAGTTAACATTAACATTAATACATTAATTTTTAATACATTAACATTAACAGTAATACATTAATTTTTAAGTTAATATTTACTAATTAATCAGAATTTGCGATTGTTTAAATTAACTAGAAATCTTATTAACTTGAGTAAAATTCTAATGATTTCAAACATATTTCTGCTCCATTAATATTTTACCCAGACATTTTGTTCATCTGACCAAACTTTTTTCCGCAAAACTATGAGTTTTATCGACTATTAAGAATTAGGTATTTAAGAGAGAAATTTTACAGAAAAATTGTACAGAATTGTACAACGCTCGCGTTTATACATGTAAGGTTCAGCAAATAAATTCCCCAAACGCAAGAAAAAATAAAATAACACAATGCAAGTCTCGTCGCGCGTGAATATATAAAAATACAAATATAAACTGGCGAATAATACAGAACTGCGAAACATTATCTGAACAACCGGGGTTTGAGAGGCAAAGGGGAATCCAAGCCGTAGAGAAGACGAGCGGGGAAGGGAAAGAAGAATAAAAAGCGGAGAACGAGCTGGTGGCAAGCGGCGGGTTAAATTGCTATATTGACCGTCAGTCAATTAGTCGGGCCGGTGTAGAAACCGGACGAGCTTATGCCAGTTTATAAGGGTCCTTGGAACGAGCAGTGGCGACCGGAGGCGTGAGGATTCGAGTGGGATCACACCGCGAGGGGGAGTCCTGGAAGGATCTCGGGGCTTTGCCTCTCTCTTACCTCTTCGCGGAAGGCGGTCGAGATGTTTTATGTTCACGTTTGTCTCGGCTCGCGATATACTACCTTTTCAGACATATATCTCCAACCTAACGACGGAAACGCTGCAATCGGGTGCGAAGTTAACCATCGACGGGAAATAATTCTTTGTATATCCTCGACGCGTAGTTGCACGGTTTTCGAAATAATTGGCGTCGTTTAAAAAAAGATAAGAATGAAGACTTGGAGAATTTGATATCGATTTTCAGTATCGTGAAATATTTAATAGATAATTAAAAATATTGAAACGTCACAAAGAAAAAAATTGTACCTGATCAAATTCACCTTTACAGATTATAATTAGTTATTTATTTATATTCTGTACATGCGTAATTATTTATCTAAAATGCCTTTTAAACGCTTTCCTCTTGTGGGAGGAAAGAAGAAAGCAGGTCCTTACACGTTGAGGGTTTGTTTATGTCGACTCGGGGTGGTCCAAAATGGGGCGCGTGGGAGGTCGTGAAGAGTTAACATCGGAAGGATGTTCCTAAGGAACCAGGAAGCTCCTGGAAAGTCGAGAGAGAGGAGATGGAAAAGATGGAAGGCAGATGAGCAGGGACGCGGCCGGCGCGCGCCTAATTGCCCGCCACGATGATGGTAACATCCCCGCTCTTTATTCGTCCTACGTCTCCCCCTTGGAAGGCGAGATGGGGAAAGGAAAGAAGGGTGAGGTCGTTCCTCCACCCGGGTGAGCGCCTACTCGTGCGTCGGTAATTAGATCTCTGTCTCAATGACGCTGGTCGTCGCTTCCTTCACCCGTCAACTCGCCTCGCTCTTATCGTCCCTTAAACTTTCCACCCCCACATAGTCCTAGTATTGCCTTCTTCGGAAACTACTTTCGACGCTGCCCTCTTTTCTTAGTTATACTTCTTCGGCTATTTGCCGTGGAAATCTTTGAGTCAGAAAATTCACGTCTCTTTCTCTCTCTCTCCTCCCTCTCTCCCTCTCTTTTCTCCTCCCTCTCGTTCTTTCTCATGTTTATACTGTTTATACTGACCTGTTTATACTGTTTCATGCATTTTTTAAAGTTTAGCCATTTCAGTCACGAATTTGTCTTTAAGTTGTCATCCCTCTGAGGAATCATACGTACGTAACATGACATTGAAAGGATCGGCGGTAGCATATCTTTGACTTCGAAAGATTCGTCCGCATCAAGTTTTCTTCTATCTTCGAGAACTCTGCCGAAATATTGCTGGAGTCTCGACTAAGTCTTCAGATTCATCCCGTACAAAACAATCTTTCTCACGACGACGAGACGGATAATCCGACTGGCCAACGGTCAGAGTCATCGACTGTGCGTTTGGTGTCACGAGACAAACGGTCGCGCAAAAACGGGACGGCGGGGGAGAGGGAGAGAGAGAGAGAGAGAGAGAGAGAGAGAGAGAGAGAAAAGGAGACAGGAGTTAAAGGGTTGAAAATCAGGCTCACGCAAAGCGAGGAAGGAAGGAAGGAAGGAAGAAAGGTAGGAGACGACAAGGGGGTAAGAGAAGGCTGCGACGTGAGGGTGAAGGGGCCCACCTTCTCCCGAGTTCAATTCATTAACAAAAGACGGCTTGATAAATAAAAGCATTACTCACACTCGTGGCGCTGGCGGGATGAATGCATACCGAGTCGACAAGGACCGAGGAGAAGACGTAGATAAGATCGGCGGGTGTCCCCGCGTTTTAGTGGTCGAGCAGCAGGGGGCCCGACACGGTATTAATGTTTGGCCTCCGAGGCAAAACATTCACGCCAGCTCCCCTGTCCCCGCGGTCACTTCGCCTTGCTTTTAACCGCCAACCTGGGCCCATTGCCCTCCCGCCCTCCAAGAGGTCCATTCTTTTCCTTCGTACATTTTCGGTGACCGTGAGCGAGTTAACCTAAGATCATCGCGAGCTATCCTGGATTATTGATTACCAATGCCTGCTTTTACTCATCGTTGCATATTGAATTTTCTACAAAAAATTTTATTTCTTTCATTATAGAGATATTTAAAGATTTTTTTGGCGAAGAAACCTGAGTCTGTATTGTAAAAGTGTAAGTAAAGTTTTGGATAATTTAGAGTAACGTTTTTAAATGTTACTCCTAGATATTAGCTCATAGTAATGCCGTCGGGAAAAAAATGGACTTAACTCGAATCTAGCACATTGGGATTATTTCCAGCATCATTTAGCATCGTCGATTTTTTATTTTAAAGCAAGTTAGTAAAACGAGAACTTTTGGTTTTTTATGCACTAGAAAAATTTATAGTTGTAAGAGATATTAGCTTTAAAAACAGTTAATCTATTTCAATTACCTGTCACATGAAAAGAAAAGCAAAATTGCTTTTCATGAATAAAAATTCAATTAATCTTCTTTCTTCTTTCTATCTTTTGTAGCTAATTTTTATAATTTTAATAAAAAAATTTATGTATATATTATAATACACACACAAGAACATAAAAAAATTATTAATTTTATTCTCTCTCTCTCTCTTTCTCTCTCTATTTCTCTTTTTCTTCTCTCTCCTCTCTCGTCTCTTGACTAAAAAGAATGATGTACTTTCGAATATTTACAGATAATTATATTTCGACGGATTGAAATGTTTATTATTTTTTTCCTTAAACATTCATATGTCGGCATGGAAATCTTAAAATATTGACCTATTAAATTCATCTTCAAAAAAGTTATAAATTTCTAGGTAAACTTATGTTTTTTACGCGATTTTCTCTATATTTATAGTAAAATTTAATATTTAAATGAGAATTTACGGTTATTTTTTTACATAATTCTAATTCTATAGACTTCAAAGTTATTTTTTACATAATTCTAATTTTACAAACTTCAAAGAATATATATTCATATTTTTTCATAAATTTTTATCAGTATTTTTATGGAACTTAAATAAGTGAAAACGAAAACGATCCCTCCTCTCCAGCGTGTCAGATCGAGATGCCAAAAAGATGTGTGCCATATGAGGGTTAATTATCTCGATCTAATACCAATACATCTTGCTCTTGTCGTTGATAAAATCAAGCTGATGTCGAAACCCTGCAACAGCTGCACCACATAGGTAGATTCGAGCACAGCTTTAGAAGTACTCTAATTCGACGATGACTCTGGAGATTTCGTTTGACTGTGGATTCGTTCATTCGTTTGCGCAGGCGGATGTTCCCGACATGTCGCGTCTCATTCAACGGTCTGAAGGCAGACAGTCGATACGCCGTCCTGATGGACATCGTGCCGGTTGACAATAAGAGATATCGGTACGCATATCACAGAAGCTGTTGGTTGGTGGCCGGTAAGGCCGATCCGCCGGCACCAGCGCGGCTCTACGTCCACCCGGATTCGCCTTTCACGGGCGAACAGCTCAGAAAGCAGGTCGTCTCCTTTGAGAAAGTCAAGCTCACCAACAACGACATGGACAGGCACGGGCATGTGAGTATTTGTTTTGAGAGGATTCTTTGCTCCTTCACCCTCTTCACTCTTCATTCGTTCTAATTAGGGTCTAATTGCAAAACACGCTACAAGTTCGCATTGTTCCACTTCCAAATGTGCATGCATTTCTCGAGTATTACATTACATTCTCGTCATACCTCAGCTATATGACGGTGGTAGCGTTTCATTGTAGCTGTTGAAGTGATTTCCATTAGTTTCTTTTAAGACCCTAAATTAGCAAAACTAAACAAATAATAAATAACGAAAAGTATATTGGTTCTTTATATTGTCAATCGAACAAAATCTCTGAAAAGACAACGAAAAGAATTGAGAAATAAAAATCCGACGTTAAACATTAATTCTGCCGCATCAATTATTCCAAGCACTTCCGGCGTTTCCGACTTACTATAAAAAGCCAATTCCGACGAAGTGCAGACTCTCCAGCTCGCGTACATTACAACGGATGTGTTAAGTTTCTTATTAAATTTATTGATTGATAAGCCCTGGCCCTCCCCTTTTCCCTCCAACCGTGTCTATTTCCCACGCGGAGGTATCTGGTTAATTCCTCGTGACACTTGTCAGCCCGCGAGAAGATGAGCCTCTATTATTAAGCCGTTATAACGGCGGAATGAGTAATTTAATCGCGCTATTCGCTGGCGCTTACGTAGTAACGCGCATCGATCTCCCGACCCGACACGATGCGAGATGTCTCGTCGTTGTTCTGAATGGTGAATGGCGAACTGGTGAAAAGCGAATGGAACAAAGTCAACTGGCGCTTCCTTATTCTCCTAGCTTGACTTAAGTTCAGTATCGCACGCAAGAGAATGCATTAATTATTCTGTTATTAGAAACATGATGAATAAATAATCTATCTTTCGTAACGTGAAGATATTTTCTTCTAAGCTGAATAACATAATTTAGATAAAAATTAATACCGTGGAAAATATATTCTATTGTAAATACTCGTGTTAGAACTTAGAAATAATCTAATACTTTAGAAAAATAGAAATGTGAAATGCTAACGTTTCAGAATTTCGATGTTAGAACTTTTCGGAAAACTAATTATTATATGTTAGATTGACTGTATAAATATGATTGAGACAATCTATCTCTATGTTTTTATATTAGAAATAGTTCTATATGTGTATGTGTGTGCAAATCGTATATTCCTTTCTAAAATAACAGAAATACTAATATGCCGCATTATGACTAGTAACAACGAGACAACGACGAAACATCTCGCATCGTATCGGGTCGGAAGATCGAAGCACGTTACTACGTAACACACCATTATCAGTTTCTATTATATCTGTATATAAATAATGTATAAATAGTTGTAGGTAAGATATTATATCATTAATTATAAAAAATAAAATACTTTGATATTAAATTATCAAAAAATAAAAAAATTTATAAACTTTTAAATAATTAATTTTGAAATATTTAATTAGTTATGAGTGCCTTTAATATATTAGCATAATTTGATTTGTTACAATGAAAATATTGTTTTGTTAATATCCAAAAATTAAGATCCTATATTTATTGAATCTTGAATTATTGTGTGTATGAATATAGGATTTTTTTCTTAAAACATGCAAAATTTCTTCCTATATAGATGTAGAATCAATATACTATCTTTCTCTGTATCTTAAATTAGCTATTTTAAACACAAATTCTACAAATTTATTTTTCGTAAATTCAAAATTATTATATTTGTACATTGGATAAGCATATTTATAGATATTTAAATAAGAGCATATCAGAGAAGTTATTGTTTCTCACAGACCCCTCCTCTCTCAGAGAATACGCCAAACTAAACAGCAAGAAATAAATGCATTAATAATAAAAGGGTTATCAAAGAATTAATAAAAGCGCTATATATGAAAAGTAACATAAGACATTTCCGTTTAGTTTTAATAAAAGCGCTATATATGAAAAGTAATATAAGACATTTCCGTTTAGTTTTATAAGCTTTATCTGCATACGGCGGATGTCGTTCTTAAATTAAATTTAATACTCTATATAATGACTCACCTAACCTATATTAAATTTGGGTACTTAAATTGAATTTAGATTCTCTTTATAATGACTTATTTTACTTTGACCATCCATATGCTCGATTTCTATTGGTCTGTTAGTAAAAGTAAGTCATTTTTATTACACAAGATAGTATATCATATAATTGCAAGGAACTTCATTCTAATCACGCGTCACTTAAGTTTATTCACTTACGAAATTAACTTGCCAGATGCTCAGCTGCTTTTAAATCAACTTTTATTTTTTTAACTGCAATATGTTTTCTAATTTTAATGAAATTTTGGGAATACTTATGTTCTAGGAAGAACACTTTGCAATTCCATTTTTTCACTGTTTTTCTCGCAACAAATACGTAGATAAAATACATAGTCAACATAATCCTTGGATTAACTCCACTTTTCCGATATTTAAATCGTTACTTTTTATAGTTTTACTTATCTTAACGTTGTTTCTTATGTTACGTGTCATGTAGTTTTGGGAAGTGCGAAGAACGAATATTCTAAACAAAAGAAAGAAGAAAAAATAACTTCTACTTTTGTCGTATGTCATTTAGCTGCGCTCAATTATCGCCACACGCGTCCTCGAGAGTTCTGTATCGAACCGTCGATATTTTCTTACGGACCATTTTACAGTGAGTTTTCCACGTTTCCTCGCGATGGCAGACGTGGCCGATCCGAGACAGCCCGCGCATTAAATTTTTACACGTTACTCGGCGCAGCTGCAGCTAAAAGTACGACATTGTCGGCGCCGAAGACAGCGAGTGCACGCCTACCGCGTTCATCTGTTACATTAATAAATCCACCAGAATCGATTGTTAGGTTCAACAAAGTTCAGCAAAGTAGAACGCAACGCGATGGCATTTCTATTCCATCGCGATGCTTTTACGTCGCATCTATTACCTGCATTCTACGTCACTACGAAACACACTTTTCTCTGCATAATTTCCTCTTTCCTCTTTTGTTTTCCTATAACCATCCAGCATAATACGATTAGTTTGAGGAAACTTACGACTGGTAAAGTGGGACGGTGATGACATTATGAGATAATCACGATAATTTCAAGAGACGCGAAAGAAAAGCGAAAGTGATTTACGTCGGTAATTTTTTTTGAATACAGAGGCGATATTCTACTCTCATAGGAGAGATTATTCCTTTATTGTTTATTCTCACTCGTGGAAAATTGTCTGCAATAATTATATTCGATCGCGCGTATAGACAGAAAGAACGGTTTTTATTTATTTAATACGTTTTACTAATTTCAAAAAATGTATCTATTAGAATATTATAAATAAATCAATTTTCGTGTAATTCAACAAATACGATTGGTTTTTAAACAATTTTATTGTTTGGCTTAAATAACTTATTGTTTAGTTCAAAAAATTGTTTTATTTAATTTCCTTTACTAAAAAATTCAATAATTTTGTTTAAATAATCTTAAAAACTTAACATTTTTTCTTGCATTACTGACAGTCTGTAATTTTGTTATTTCATCATGTGTACCTTCTTCCTCCCGTGATTTTCATCCAAATACTCTCGTGATGCAGTCATTCATCTTTTTTTTACAGTGGGTTACTTGACTTTAATGATCATATAGAAATTAGTGAAGCCAATTAGTTCTGATGATACAGTCCTAGCTTATAATGCATCCTTATAATATCCAAAAAACTTTTTTTATGCCATACTTACTGCTAATTATTGAAAACAATATGTAACGGATATTGTGTCAATATGTAACGGGTATTGATAGAATGTACCTTAGTGAATTAGGGAAGTAATGATTATTATTCTTGAATTTTTAATTAAACATTATATTGGTTAGTTTAAATAATATACTCAGAAAAAATACTTGAAAATTTATTCATGAGATATAAAGTTAAGTTTATTTCTATGAAATAAAAGTTATTTATAGGGATAAAGCACATCTCACAAAAAAATTTGCAAATATTTGTTCTTAGTAGATTAGAGTATGAAATGTTTAAAATAATAGTTACTTTTTCAATTAAAAAAGCTGATTTAATTCAACGAAACAAGATTTAAAATATAACTAAATAATATATTATTTGATTGAGAAAATTAAATTTTCTTTTCTTTTAATAATAGTATTCTTTTAAACAATATAACAAACAATATAGGAGGTTTAATTTAATGAAACAAAATATGTTGAGAGAGACGTTGGAATCAAACAAACAGGAATATTAAATTCGAAGAAACCATTCTTCCCATGTATATGTTTATTAAATCAACTTCTCGCGTTTCTCACAAAAAAAAATCGAAGAGTTACTGAAGACGCGTGGCGATTGCTGTGAGAATTCAACCTATCTTCGAGAAACTTGTGGCTTGCTCGCGCAAGAACGTAAGTAGAGAAAAATGACGCCGACAAGACGGATTTCGGCGTGGCGGTGCGATTTAGTCGCTCCGCGGGATAATTTGACAGTCCGTTGTCTCGTTTGTCATAAGTCACAGGAATCTCAGTCTTCGCCTTACTCGCTCTCCTTCTGCGTCTCCCCTCCTCACCTTCCCCCTTCTCCCACCCCTCATTGTCAGGAGCCGGAGCTCCTCTTTCTCGGCGGAGCATCAGGGGCCCCCCTTAATTCATCGGATGACTGACGTAAATAGGAACTCCGATCGGGGCAGCGCTTCTTCACGGTACTCATTTTGTATTCAGGGTATTACACGCTGCCAGACGCGGCAAAGTGATTCTTTTGAACGGTAACGGGGAGAACGCGCCCGGCTCCGAAGAGTGCTCCTAATTCATACGCTTTTTCTTCCACGCTCCCGTCCCTCTCGCTTGTTGTTGTTGCCGTTGTTAATGCTATCGCGCGCTTCTCGGATCGCCCGCGGCCGATTCGAATCCCCCGAACGACGAAAGTCAACGTGAGGCTCGATGTAATCTCGACGCGTCTTCGTCTTCGCGGGGAAGGACGAGCCATCGTCGGCGATCTCGGAACCCTAATGGGACCCTTCGAAATAAAAGCTGGGATAGAAACGTGTATAGTGCAAGTAGAAACACGAAGAGCTAGTCACCGTTGCTACGTCAGCGCGTCATATTCGTGTCGTTCATTTGGATTGGTCGGTATTCGGCTTCCTTCGGCTTTTAATTGAATGAAATCGGACACCCGCAATTTTCGCGTTGAGAGATCGCCCGATTGCGATGCGCTTCCTTATTCTCGTGTATCTTTGAATTATAACGCGTATCTTTGAATTATGACTGCATTCGAGTATGCAATCATTTACTGAGAAGATATATATATATACAGAAAAATACATATTATGTTCAAATAAATGTTACTTGTTTGAAGTATTTCATAAATTTATATTGTTATGTTATAAATCTACCATAAACTCTCATCATAAGCATCAAATTTATTCAAAATATATTCCGAATCCTAGTAAGTTTAGTATCTCAAGAAAAAATATTAAATTAAAACAAAAATTTGCTTATTACACAGAGTCGAGTTAACTTTTTCTTCAATAAAGTTTTATAATATTTTTGTAGAGAAAATTAATTCTTCATTTGAGTGCATAATAATAAGCTTTTCTAAAAAATTCGTGATAATTATATTTAAAGACTATTATCAAGAAAATATTCTTTGTTGAAAATAACCATTACTTCAAAAAAAGAAAGTAAACGGAATAATCGCTTTTTTTAGTGTAGAATAATATTTTTCTGTGTGTATATGTGTGCGCGCGTGAAGTTTTTCTTTTTTTCATGAAAAAATTCTTTTCAATTTTACTATATTTTCTAGTAATGTAGGGATAGGCTATCAGAAGAGTTTATCTTGCTGTAGAACATGATGAATATTTTAATAATACAATTCGCAATTCTCAAAATGTAAAATGTTACTGTTCTATAATAAAAATTCTCGCAATATAACAATCCTTCTTGTTTCCCTTATTCCTTCACCCTACTCCCTCCTAACCCTCCTTGTTTTCTTCTTATCCTTCCTCAACATAATTTGCTTATACATTATGAAATTCAGAAATTCAGTTTGGATAACTGAATGAAGAGTATTAATTTGAGGATCGGAAACATTTGTCTGAACATTCAAATGTATTAAAGCTCAGATAACTAAAGTTAACTGAGAGCAATTGCCAAGCACAAACATGCTACAAAAATTCTCCTTTTCCTACTGTATTTTTAATTTCCAAGTAACAAAACAATTAGTCAAATGGAATTGTTTTTCCGTGTATATATAGTAGCCTTTACACTTAAAAAAATATAATAATTTGCACATTGCTGATTTGCACATTACGGTATGTCGAGGTAAAAAAATATTTCGCCCAATTTTGAATGTTCACTAGTTTGTTCTTACTTCTTGAACTCTTAGCAACTAAGTCTCCGGACAGTATTAACTGAAGTGTCGATCTATTCTGTAATTCGGTTATTAACTATTTCAGTGCCATACAACGCAATTACGCTATTTCTATTCCATTTCAAAAGCTATTCTATTTCCATTTTACCCATCGTCGCAGCAGGCGAAAATGTGCTCCGAAAATGCATTCAGATTTCACCGCAACTCACTTCCGATGTTATAACTTAAAGAAGTTTTATTTTTTAAACTTGGACTTTACTAGTAGTAATTTTTGTCACAACTTTTTTATGAAAAATGAGTGAAAAACTGAAACAACAAATATAAAACGGCAAAAGTGCAGTCGCACCGCTCAGAATTTTTCGAACCTAGTCTATAATCGTTTTGTAACCACCCATGGCAGTAAAATAATTAAGATATTCAACGACAAGAAAAAGGAAACTTGAAAACAAATATGTTTTATTATCAATATGATACTAATTGTAAAAATTACTATAGCTTAAGAGTAAAATTTAAAATATATAAATAGCATATATGAATATCTAGAAAATAAAATAAATCAATGCAGGCATCAATCTATTTCTCGGTCATACAAAAATTCGATAGCAATTTTTACTATAAAATTTTCCTTATGTACATTTATCGGAATGAAGTTCCATACATAACTGGTCTCCTAAAATCAACAATCTTCTAAATTTAAAAAGGATCAAAAATTGCAGTCGAAAATTAGAAATACGTAAATTACACATTTCAAACATTAACTTTTGTGCAAAACCGTTTTCCTTCGTTCGTCCCGACAAACACGGTATATCACTCTAAGCGCAAACGGCGAGAAGTGAAAACGTCTATTTAGAAAATCGAGCGTTCAACTGAGCGCGCGCGTTTATTTGCCAACATGTACCGCGATTGGATCTGAACGCGTGAATCCGCGGCAACGAGGGGCCGCCGGTTGGTCAGTCGATAGTAAACTGAAACAATTTGCAGCTGGTGCTGAACTCTATGCATAAGTACCAGCCAAGGATCCACCTGGTGAAACGGCCGGACTCGGGCACGGCGAAGCCGATCGTGGACCTCGAGAAGGAGCCGCACAAGACCTTTATATTCCCGGAGGCCATATTCACCGCTGTCACCGCCTATCAGAATCAGCTCGTAAGTTTCACTTTGTTTCTCGCTACCGTTACACTCCAGCCTTTCCTTTTGCTCACTCGTTCGCTCTCTCATTCTCTTCCTTTCTCTCTTCCCTCTCTTTCTCTTTCTCTATCTACTTATCTATCTCTTTCTTTCTCTCTCTCTTTATTTTTCTTTTCTTGTGCATCGCGCTCTTTACCTCCCTCTCTCGTCCTCTCGCGGTGGGTCCTGCACGTCTGTCCGGTCGCCTCCGGTCCTCCGCCACGTCTCGCCACGTCGGCCACACGGGACTGGTTCCTCCATTTCGTTCGCTGCGGCTCTCTTTCATCCTCGATAATCGTTTCTGTCGAGAACGAGCGACCGCGTGAAGACACTGGCGTAACACCTCGCGGAGACGGCCGCGTTAACGAGCAGCCGCGCTGCGAACGAACCGCATTGCGCTCGCGTGTCGAGAGAGCCGCTTGCTTCCTTCTCAAGCGGCAATTATATAAGAGAAATGTTTCGTAGTTTTGATTATCTCTTTAGAAATGCGTATTGCACGCTTAATAATATTAATTGAATAATATTAATTGAATTCTTCCACGGTGATTTTTTATTCCAAAACTTAGAGCGAAGGACACACATCATTATTCCATAGATCGGTAACGTTAAGAAGTTGCTAGATACCGACGTAATATAGCTTCGTATTTCGCACTGTTTTTCTATTTGGTTCTATAAAATTGCAAATGTTTATACAGAGTAAAAATACAAATGTCAATGAATGGCGAAATACTCCATTTAATATAAAAAACAAAAGAGTTTTGTAAGCAAAAAATTTTTTCTAATTTGTCATATAACACGGGTTACTCTGGCATTTATTTGTACTTTTACTTTGTACAAGTATTTGTATTCTGTTCAACAAATAGGAAAACAAAGTAAAATATGAAAGCTGCATTATATCAGTATCCAGCATCCTATTAAGCAAAAGAGGAGCAGAATTGATAAGATTTCGTAAATTATGATTTTGATATAACAATTAATAAGAGTATAAGAAAAAAAGGAGATGCTCAAGACGTGATTGGGATTTAAAACATTTTTCGCGATTCCTCAACCCTGACAATAACATCAGGCAGCTGCCGAATGTAAAGTGAAAGTATCTAATATCGTGTACTTAATTTTGAACATTTGTAGAAAAAAGAGGAATTAATATTTTTGCATCGTGTCGGCCACATTCTTTTTGGAGTTTATTTAAGAATGACATATTAAAGTATTGATTTACTAAGAATGGTTGAAGCTACAAACAATATACTTACAAAATCACAATTTTGAGGAAATGGTACCTAATATCCTAATATCGTATACCTGACAAAATGTATGAATTCAAGGGAATAAAATCGTAATGTGTCGGAAAAAGCATTTATTTTAATGTATATTAAGTAACGTAATATACATGAAGGAAGTGCAGTTGTTAATTATTTAACCTGAAAACTGAATTACAAGTAAAAATAATTCTCCAAGCACTGATAACAAGATATTTTAATAATAAGTTTAATATATGTATATGAAACATATATCAAACTTTCACTTCACATTCGGCAGCCGCCTGGTGTTATTATCAGGATTGAGGAATCTCGAAAGATGTTTTCATAATGACGTCTTGAGCGTCTCTCTTTTTATCTTATACTTTTATTAATTGTCATATCAAAATCATAATTATGACTAAATAAGCAATGTTGCTTATTTAGTCATAAAATATAAAGGCAAATGTAAAAAATAAAATTCCTTATAACACCTAATATTGTATATAACACTCGAGAGGCAGACATATATCGTATACGATATTAGGTGGATACCTGCTATTATACAAACATCAACCCTTTTACAACATTCAAGTTAAATGAACCTACCATTGCATTTCACTGCTTATACTATCTTAAGGACTACTAAACATTTTATACATTTTCCACTTATCTTGATTGTACAAAATATGTTTCTCTTTGGATACTTGAAAAAAATATTGACAAAGTCATATAGTAAAAAACGTTCTTTGCTCTAAACGTGCTTGTTAAACGATATAGTATAGCCTATAGTATAGAATGTCTCCCCCTCTAAATATCAGGCAACTAATTTCATCGGTTCCTGACAGAACATGATGTAAATTTGATTCTAATTTATTTTCAAGAACTTCTACAAAATATGTCTGAAAGTCACGTTAAGAACAAAACAAAAAAGAGAACAATGATTGCAACTTGCAATAAGTGATCTAATAAAATTTAAATCAACTGTTTGATAGCATGTATAAAATAAGCCTCCCATCAGGATTAAGTAGAAACGAACGCGTAAAACGTACGAACGGCTGAGAACGCGAAAGGTCTCAAATAGGCACGCCACCGTGTTGGCCCGCGCAGTGTGCAACCATCAAAAGACGCGACACGTGCAACAGCAGAGATGATCGTAAGTAGCGTTCGAAGTCCGTCTCCGGTCTGCTGCAGTCTCGACCTCTCGACGAGCCGTCTTCCGTGTCCAAGTTCAGATTCCGTGTTCAGTGCGCAAGAACGACGGAACATTATCGTATTTCACGATAGTCGTTTAGAGCCGACTGCGGCGTCATGTGTGGTCCAGTTCAGCGTCGTTCGCATTCCACGAGCGTCGCGGCGCGTCCCGTTTCGCCACCGTCACCGCCACCGCCGTCGCGCCGTGCTGCGCTGTGCCGTGCCATCGAGGGGACTCGATTTCGTTCTCCCTCTCCCCCCCCCCCCCCCCC